TATTCCCATCAAACTACCATTGACTTTCTTCACAGAATTAGAAAAAACTACTTTAAATTTCATGTGGAACCAAAAAAGAGCCTGTATAGACAAGACAATCCCAAGCAAAAGGAACAAAGCTGGAGGCATCACACTTCCTGACTTCAAACTATACAATAAGGCTACAGTAACCAAAACAACGTGATACTGGTACCAAAACAGATATATTGACCAATGGAACAGAACAGAGGCCTCAGAAATAACACACACACCTACAACCATCTGATCTTTGACAAACCTGACAAAAACCAGCAATGGGGAAAGGATTCCCTATTTAATAAATGGTGCTGGGAAAACTTATGGCTAGCCATATGCAGAAAACTGAAACTGGACCTCTTCCTTACACCTTATAGAAACATTAACTCAAGATGAATTAAAGATTTAAATGTAAGACTTAAATCCATAAAATCCCTAGAAGAAAATATAAGCGATACCATTCAGAACATAGGCATGGGCAAAGACCTTTATATAATTCCTCAAATGATGTCCACTAAAGATAGCTTGACATAACTAAACTATTGAGTTAGTATGATGATTGTCTCTGGTAATATCTAGGTTCAGATAAATTCCTCTTAGTAGTAAGAGAAATAGTAAAGATGAACTCAGATTGGTATATCATTAAATCAGTAAGGAAAGAAGTTTGAATAAGCAAGAATATACAAAGGAGAGAATGATATATACAAGAATTTTATAATGGTGATCTTGCACAGAAGATCATCATACGGTTATTAGCATGCCTCAAGGTCCTTGGGTTGGCAGTTAACTTCCATGCTCTTTCTGCTTCTGGAGGCTTTTGCAGAACTTCAGTTTAAAATCACTAATGGGTGTGAACATCAGTGTATCAAGGTTCCCTTTCATTTTTCTAGAGGGTTGGGAATGATGAGGTCATGAATAAATATTCTAGTGAAAATGTCCTCATATCACTGGATTTATACATTAGAATGTTTCAGGTAAGAAATAAAAATCTAACTGTATTTTAGCCATTGTGAGAATTGTGGCTTTTCAACAGGTGAATGCTTAAACAGAGTCATAAAATAAGCACACTATTTGAACTAGTACCTAGTAATAACTCACAGAGAGGGACAACCATATACAACCCATCTGGAGATGCTCAAAGGTTTCTTTTGCAATTTTATCAATGTCCCATACATTTTTTTCCAAATTAATTTAATTACAAATGAAGCATGAGCAGGACATATCTTCTACTCTCTTGAAAATGTCTTTCCATTGCTGTTTAATTGGCCAACTTGTCCTTCCAGAATAATTTGCTCATTTTTCATGAGATGTACTGAGTTTTCACAAATGTTCTTCAAATGAAACTTCTGCTTGAGATGTCTACAGATTTTCTTCCATAGGCTCCCAAGCCACAGAGAACAGAGATCTTTTAGTTTGTTTACTGAAAGATCCATAATTATGTTGATTTGGGTTATTTACTTTTTAACTCTATCTGGAAATGTCAAGCCACATATTAGATATTTTCTAGATTGGTAATTTTACATTTTAACTGTTTTTTTCCTCATTTGATTCAACTAATTCAGGAGATCTAAGCCTACTTACAGAGGGAGAGAATATGATCCTTCTTATGTTAGTTGTTGAGTCTATTTTAGAACTATTTGAAAGTTTCCTAAAGTTTATTTTTCATCTTTATTTAGTGTACAACTTTGAGTATTTATTGAAAGAAAAAGCTTCTGAAAGTGCCTTATGCAATGCCTTTTCTATTTTTCTTTTTTAAATGTTACACCGATGGGTTATTTTAATCTTCTCTTTTCTACTCTTGCATTTAAACATTTTTCTCCATCAAAGGCTAACAACTAATTGAATTAATTGGTACATACTTGCAGTATGGACAATAAGTATCTAATAAAATTTCCAAATTCTATAGCAATCATTATGTTCTGTATTCATGAAGTTTAGGAAAATTATTAACTATAGATCTTAATTTGACTTTATACCAGTTTTTTAATTCAACTTCTATAGATCTGACTTATGTTCTAGAAAGTTTAAAATGTTATACTCTTTTCCAGTAAAAACTCTGCCGACAGAGTAGCTCATTTAGAGAGTCAGGTAAAGTTGCATAGCAAAAGAATGAAATTAAAAGAAGGTAGCATTCAGAAGGTTACCAAAGCCTTGACAAAAATCATCTTTGAATTGGAAAATTTGTTTGTAGGATGCCAGCTAAAGAAATTGACAATTAACTGTGGTATTTTATCTCCCAATTTGTCTAGAGCTTCTTTTAGATATTTTAATTTATCGACTTTATCATATCAAAACTTCCCATATGGCCATTGTTATTTTAAATATCTATTTTCCTATCTATCCATTATCTATCTATCTATCTATCTATCTATCTATCTATCTATCTATCTATCATCTATGTATCATCTGTCTGACCTGTATTGGGAAAAAAAAATAGGATTAATGTGTGACTTTATGTGGGAAGAATAAGTTCTTCCAGAAAAATGTTTGTATTTAGACAGAGACAAATTCCTGATACACAAAGAAGAGAGGCCACTAAGTTCTATCAAAAGTGTGTGCTTGCTAATGGTGTCTTAGATTCCCAAAGCAAATAGAGTGTAGGAAGGCAACACACAATCACTAAAATAAAGTCATCTTTCATAAGTTGACAACACAGGAAGTATTCTTGTAAAGGTATTCTAAGAAACCTAAGGCTGAGTGATCTACCATTTTTGACAAATTGGTTATCAATTTAAAGGATCTCCAAACAGCACCGAGGGCCAGCTTGGACTGGACACTTCTTAAGCTTACATGTTCCTCTAATGTTTAGGTACTATCGCTTATATAGCCAACAGAAAAAGATGACTCAAAACAAAACAAACTCACAAACAAAAAAGACCCATAAAATAAGACTTTGTATGTGTATCTAAATAATAGCAAAAGCAAAGAAACAGCAAGGGAATAAACAGATATGGAAAAAAATATTTATCAAATTGTGTATCTCTAAAGTGATATATTTGTTGACATAATAAAAAGCTTATGTCTAATTACCAAATGGTGCATTTCAAAACCAAAGGTTATATGACTTAATATATAAAGATACAGGTGAAATTACCTTACCCAAAGACCTAACTTTAATGGCCTTCTATATAAAGACCTACATGATTACAAATCCTAGGATAACCACATAAATTCAGCAACAAGAGCTCAGTAAAATTAGCCCGAGCAAGAAAATCGTTGAGACTGACTCACATGGTAGTATGCGGGAAGGACAGAATGTGGGCATGAGGGGATCCAGTGAGTGACCCTGTTGATCAGAGCATCTCCTGGAAAGTTATCAAATAAGGGGTCTTCAATATTATCTTGGTGAAGCCTCTAGAAATATGAAACATGCTGAAGCTAAATACATAATTTTTTTTTTAAAAAGCACAAAAGCTGGCTGGGTGTGGTGGCTCACGCCTGTAATCCTAGCACATTGGGAGGCCAAGGCAGGCAGATCATGAGGTCAGGAGACGGAGACCATCTTGGCTAACACAGTGAAACCCCATTTCTACTAAAAGTACAAAAAATTAGCCAGGCATGGTGGCGGGCGTCTGTAGTCCCAGCTACTTGGGAGGTGGAGGCAAAAGAATGGCATGAATCTGGGAGGTGGAGCTTGCAGTGAGCTCAGATTGTGCCACTGCACTCCAGCCTGGGCGACAGAGTGAGATCCCATCTCAAAAAAAAAAAAAAAAAAAAAAAAAACCCACACACACAAGCGCGAAACAAATTGCTTACTATAGTAAGGGATAGTTATGCTAGGCAGATACATTTTATCTGAGCAGAAGACTATTCATTTTACGGAAAGTGTGGAGTTTAGGGATTGAAAACCTTGCAGACTCTGAGAGCTGGCTGACATCACCTGTAGCAATACAATTACTCATATGAGACTGTTGATTAGTTGGCACTCGTTTATTGAAGTGATTCTGATCCTGCCTGAGTGATTATCAGAAGTAAAGGCTGACAGTACTTGCTTGGCATCCAAACACATGTTCACTGAGGCAAGTTGTTGATTGACTGACAGGTTTAGCACTGGTTCTGGTGGTTCCTTGTTGCCATGGCTACAGAACAATGAGTCTTCTCCTAAATTTATGGAAATGATTTTATTCTCACAATTTGGGAAATATTGGCCCAGACCAAATATTTTGTGATTACAAAATTCTGTGAAGGGGTTGTCCCAGAGCCTGACAGATTTTTCTCTCACTCCGAAATACAAAATACATTTTATTCTCCATCTAGAGAGAAAAGATAAGTCAGGCATTTAGAAATAAATTCTGGTCTTTCCTTTCCAGAGATGGGTTAGGGGAGATTTCATTCTTCCTGGATAAGTTCATTAGAGGTTACTAACTCAAAGGCCCTCCGGTTTCAGATACAAATCATTCGTGATTTATGAGTAGAGGAGTGAGATTTAAGGTGTAATATAGAATTATGCAGTAAACAAGAGAATGCAGATTCTTGTAAAGAAGTCGATGAAATTTACATTGAAAGCACTCTGCTGGCCAAAAACGACTTGTCTATGAGCTGGACTTGCTTACAGACAATGACTGCATCAAAAGAAAAGTTTTGTTAGTTTATTTCTTAATAATTTATTCTATCCCATAATCATCATTTAACCTTCACTGGAAATAAAGTTTTATTTGGGTGTTTTCTTTTTCTGAACATGTAGAACCGAGTCCTATCCACAGAATGGCATCTATTTATAATGCTAATGTTGGAAGAAAAAATCATTTTTGTAGGTTCAAGTATGTCACATTAGGCTTGTAATGAGATTAAGTTTGGGGATATAATTGCTCAGGTAAGACAATGATGCATCCTTATTTGTGTAATAGTGAGCATTTTTAAAAAAGCATTAAATGCCATAAATCATGAAGGATGCAAAGATGACTGTGTCTCTGGTGATTAATATGCATGTTGTTATTCCTAGCAGAAACCTTGGATTCATGCTAAAATGATTTTTCTCATCACAGGCTGTGAGCCCATTCCTGTCCGCTATCTTGAGTGGAGCAACATCGAATCCATCATAGCCATTGCCTTCTCATGCCTGGGAATCCTTGTTACCTTGTTTGTCACCCTAATCTTTGTACTGTACCGGGACACACCAGTGGTCAAATCCTCCAGTCGGGAGCTCTGCTACATCATTCTAGCTGGCATCTTCCTTGGTTATGTGTGCCCATTCACTCTCATTGCCAAACCTACTACCACTTCCTGCTACCTCCAGCGCCTCTTGGTTGGCCTCTCCTCTGCGATGTGCTACTCTGCTTTAGTGACTAAAACCAATCGCATTGCACGCATCCTGGCCGGCAGCAAGAAGAAGATCTGCACCCGGAAGCCCAGGTTCATGAGTGCCTGGGCTCAGGTGATCATTGCCTCAATTCTGATTAGTGTGCAACTTACCCTGGTGATAACCCTGATCATCATGGAGCCCCCTATGCCCATTCTATCCTACCCAAGTATCAAGGAAGTCTACCTTATCTGCAATACCAGCAACCTGGGTGTGGTGGCACCTTTGGGCTACAATGGACTCCTCATCATGAGCTGTACCTACTATGCCTTCAAGACCCGCAACGTGCCCGCCAACTTCAATGAGGCCAAATATATCGCCTTCACCATGTACACCACCTGTATCATCTGGCTAGCTTTTGTGCCCATTTACTTTGGGAGCAACTACAAGATCATCACAACTTGCTTTGCAGTGAGTCTCAGTGTAACAGTGGCTCTGGGGTGCATGTTCACTCCCAAGATGTACATCATTATTGCCAAGCCTGAGAGGAATGTCCGCAGTGCCTTCACCACCTCTGATGTTGTCCGCATGCATGTTGGCGATGGCAAGCTGCCCTGCCGCTCCAACACTTTCCTTAACATCTTCCGAAGAAAGAAGGCAGGGACAGGGAATGCCAAGTGAGTTATCTGACCTGGGTTTATCTCTCTTCTCTCTTCCTTTTTCTGTCTCACTTTCTCTCTCTCTCTCTCTCTCTCTCTCTCTCCCCCCCCATCTTCCTCTAGTTTTCTGAGTTGTCTCTTCCATTTCCCCAGTGTCTTTCTCTTCCTTTCTTAATCTTTTCTCCCTCTCTCAAATCTCACATTCTGTTGCAGTAAGAATGCAGAACTGAGGCTCCTCTCTGTTTTCATTTCTTTGAAAGAACAGGAGCAGGAAACAATCCTTATTCTTGCCTAGAAGCAGAAGCTTCGGTTCTGCCAGTAACTTTCCCTTTTGCATAGGTCCTCCTATGGAGCATCATTGTGCCCCTGGAGGCTGGGTCAGAGAGGCAAGCACTAATTATAATGTCTGGTTCTGACCATGGTGAAGGTAGCTTCTGTTTTTCTTTTTTTTTTTTTTTTTTTTTTTTTTAATCATTCTGGAATCACACCACTTCTAAACTGGGGTGAAGCGGAGGAAAACTTAGCACCTGGAGAAATTGCCATGTCAAAATTTGATCACTACTGAGCACCAAGTATGTCCTAAAGTAAGATTCTGCAAGCAACTATCTTATCATATCTCTCTTTTTTGTTGAACTTGAATGTATATTGTAATAAACATGTTCCACGATGTTATACATGCATTGGGTCATCTCTGCTACTGCAATGTCGTGATCAGAATAGTTTCTTAGTCATAAAGCACCAAAAAAAAAAAAAAAAAAAAAAAAAAGGGAACCAGGTGATAAGCCCAAATCTTGAGACTTTGTGTGAACACTAAAGTCCCGATGAATTCTATTCAGAGTCCAGATAAATTATATTTCTATAATTCTTCTGAGTTGTTCGTATGATAAGCACTTTCCTATCCTTTTTCTATTTTAAGAAGAAGCATATGTTAAAATTTGCACATGTCACCTCTTTCTGTGACCCATGAAAATAAATTTCATGTAATGATTTTTATTTCAAAAATAGCAGGGATGCTTGAAGTTCTAAAGGTAACTGACTTATCCAAAAATTAAGTCATTTTCTCCACTAGCAGCATTAATTTTACTCTTTCAAACAATCTTTTAAAAGTAAAAAGGGATTAAGAAAATTATAATAATAAATAAATACAAATTATAAAAATTTACAGTAGACTACTTTTCTCACCTACAAAATGAGGGGAAATAATGTTACTGCTGAAAGATTCAGATGGATAAAATAATTACTAAACAATGTGTAGGTTATCATGATTATTATTAAAATTTTCTTAATCTCAAATGTGATAGTAGAATTTCTGTAACTTTTCAATGTATTTCCCCTTAGTTATTCTTTGTCTAGGTCTTAACTGGTATGAAACTTCTCACTTTAACACATGCCAAAAATTTTACATTCTTTAAATTTCTTGGTTTTGTATCTTTACTTTCCAAGCAGCAACATGGGCATCTTTTGCAGAATTTAGGTACCTTGAGAATCTAACAAGGGAGTCTTTGGGAAAACATATCTTTGAAATCCATTTTATGGATTTCAAGTAAAGACATCCCTAATTTTTTCAAAACTAGGATGAAGTTAATAATGTATACCTACTTCTTGGTATATCAATTTTTAAGTTCGTTATAAGATGTTGATCATAAAATTTGGTTAGCCTTTTTTGTTTTTTTTTTTTTTTCTCTTACCATGTTTTTTTATTCTAGCCAAACTGCCCTCAGTAGCAAACTCCTGGCAGGGAGTTAACAGGGAGCATGAAAGCCAACCAACACTGCTACGAAATGGAAGAAAAAAATAAACAATTAGTCTAGATGTAAAATGACATCACTAACAATTTCCATGAAGAGGTAAGAAATAAGAGGAAAGAAAATGAAAAGAAAGAAGGCATCCCTTAAACTGGAGTGTTCACAAGGATTAAAAGATTCACTTTACTGCATCACCTACGGTTTTCTGAGGGTTCCATTACAACATCCACTATTATTCCACTCCATGTTTCCAACTACCTTGCCTTTATTATGGTTCTTCAGAAGCTTTCTTCTAATTTTTGGGTATGGGTCATTTTTGAAAGTTGTTCTTCTAACCATTTAAGGTAAAGAGAAAACCTACATAATTAAGTTATCTTCTGTTGGTTCCCAGGTATATGCATTTTTGAAAGCTCTCCCAGTGATTCTATGTACAGACAGATATGGGCACCTGTTTAAGAGAACAGTGACTAATGAAGAGTATGCAGCGCTTGCTGCAGAGATGAGTTGGAGCTTGATGTCACATTAACAATGCTGAGCATTTATCTCATGGCCAGGCATTGCTGCAGGAGATTACCTTCCCACACCTGGAACCACTTTCCTGAGAAACTGAGAACATTCCCTTCATTATTAGAAATTTAGAAATTAATTTCATGTGGGATCTTGCTTTTGAGAGAAAAATCAGCATGATCTAAATTAACTGGATTGGTTGTCTAGGAAGTACTGCTTTCATCAGTAAATTGTTGAACTATTAGCTGTAATTTATCAAGCATTATTAAATTTGTTTAATAAGAGATATATTTCTAATTAAAAATTATAACCTGCAGCTTTCTGAGTACAACTTATACCTACTCCAATATGCACCAAGCAAATGAACTGACCCGGAGAGAGTATTTGAAGCTAACTTTCTATGGAAAACAATCATATGTTTACTCATTTTTCTCATTTATTTGCCTGTTGCTCCTGTTGTAACTATGTGAGACTGTAATTTTAGTATATAAAAAAGAATCTCAATGCTTATGTTTTTACCTTTTCATTGCCATTTTATATTTTCCTAGCTTGTCTCCAAAGTTACAAAAACCACAATCTAATATTTTTACAGCAGCAAAAATCTGCTAGAGTTTTGCCAACTGAAGTAAAGGGGCTAAAAACTCTAGAGAACACATCACCCAATGAGTTTATTGCTATTCTGGATGTGTAATTCCTACATTTATGGTACACTGAGGGTGTTCAGCAGTCTGCATGTGTAGCTATAAACACAGAACAGATGCTGTAATGAAGAGCTTCCAACTGATCTATCTGCTTGAACATTGTTTTGAGGCATTGCAAGTCCAACAGCATTCTCATGACAGGCTGTTTCTGAGATACGTGGTTGGAATGATGTTGCATGTCTGTTTTTAGCAAAGTTTACTTCAATTTTTATTTTATTCACAGCTGAATATCTGACACAATCAAAGGTTTGGGCACTTGCTTTACATTTTCTGGAATATAATTTAGGAGGAGTTTAATCAATACACTGGGTGTTTGGGTTACTTGAGTTATTTATAATTAGAAGTCCCATACTCCTAGTATGCCTGTGAGATCAACTGAAGTTACCTTTGACACCTCTCATTTCTTTAGTTTTTTTAAAAAATGAACATGCATGGAAAAAATATTCAGGACTCAGTAGATTTAAAAATATTGAAAAAATTTATTTATTGGAAATAAAAAAAACAGAAATCCATGGACATAAATGAGGAAGTAAATTAATTAGATCCAAGTAATTTAACACTTCCTTTTAAGGCAAAATGAGTTAATATTATTCAACTGAAAAATTCAAATATCATGTAAATGACATGCTTCTTTAAAGAGCAATTATATCAATGATTACATGCCAAACTAAAATCTCTAGTTAAATCCTAGATAAATAAAATCACTGAGTGCCAAACAATGTGATGGCACATGGAGCTGAAATGTGACAATACATTCCTATGACGTTTTGCATGCAGAATTGTGTACAAAACTAAAAACAGTTACAATCCTTCCTCCCTAAAGCATCAGACTGACACAAGGAAGTAATTTTAAAATACAGGTTACTAAGTAAATGGATATTATTATGCTACCTTGATTATTTCTTGAGTGTTTGAGTATTTTTTTTTTAACTTAGTCAAGAACCAAGTGAAATTCTAAATGGAATGATGCTCTGAGGAAATTTTCCACTTTGTTCTCTGCTAGAAACATATTTTGTCCACCAGTAGAAGCAAATAAGCCTGCAGCATTAGTCATTATGCCCTGGGTAAGCATTTTGATTTTCTTTCCTCTGATTATGAAAAGCAATGTATTAGTGAGCTTACAGCTATCACAGCCAAATAGAAGTGACATGTTCTCCTCTTTTCATTTTTGATACAGTTCTCATTTATGTTTATAGCTCTGCTAAATTTTTATTATTTTTAATTGACAGATAATAACTATACCTATTTATAGGGTACACTGTAATATTTCAATACCTGAATACCGTGTGTAACGATCAAATCAGGGTAATTAGCACATATATCATTTCAAACATTTATCATTTCTTAGTCTTGGGAATATTCAAAATCCTATCCTCTAACTTCTTTAACTATTGTTAACTATAGTCACTGTACCCTACTAGAACTTATTTGAAAGAACTCATTTACTATTCTGGCTCACAAAGAAGATAATCTTGTCATTTTGAAATTATTTTTCTCTTAATCACACAATATGTGGCTTTAAAAGCTATTGTAATTCTTCATGATATTTATAGTAAACATCAGAAGATTTTATTGAAACATTTGTAATATAATTTTACTAGTGGATAGTAATATTTATTGAGGACCAATTTCTCATTCATTCATTTATGCAATCAATCATTGTTCCAACAGTAAGCTTAAAAGCACTTAGGTACTTGATATAGTGCTAGGTAGTCAAGATAAAAAATATATATATATATAAGAAGCAGGCACTGACTCTACCACTCTTGCAATATGGGAGGGGAGACACTAAAAAATATAACTAAACGTACTATGTTAGGTGCCATAGTAGAAAACCAATATAACATTCTCAGTGCCCAGGGAAGAAAGAGATTAAGTCCAGCTAATGGAGTAGTATCTGTAGAAGGACTGGAAAGATCTTCCAGTAAAAGTACATTTGAACTTGACCATAATGGGTGTTTTTCAACTGGAGAAATTATACTATGGTAGACCATTTTACATAGAGAAAATAACATAAGTGAAGATTCAAAAATGATAATGCGCTTTCATGCCACGACATAGAATT